CCCCCCCCCCCCCCCACCAAATCCCCAAGGCCCGAACAATCATCTCTTCCATTGTGCCTCAGATCCTGTGATTCAAATATTAATTTCATGCAGTTTGTTATACTGCAATTTCCCCTCTGGAGTTTAAAGGAAAACTGCACTGTGTGCATGGTGGTACCAATTCAGGTGGATTCCTGTTCAATGTACAAAACCTACATCAGCACAAAGGAAAAAATTAGTATTAAAAATCTGATCTGAATTGAATCTATTTTGGGCAATGTGGTAGTGCAGTGGGTCACACTGGCATTAAAAAGCGGCCCCATGGTAAATTTTGCTGACTGGGGGAGGGGGACCCCCCCAACATCTACAGAGTGATACATTTCACTGACGCAGGGCGAGGGAGGGTGAGGGCATGATAAATTTTCCACTTAGACTTGTATATGATAAGGAGGGGGGGCATTATAAAAATGCCAAATGGCCAATCCAGCCCTGCACACTCCCTGTGTGTGTCCTGTGATGGACTGGCATCCCATCCAGGCTGTGCGCCTACCTTGGGTTCCCTGAAATCGGCACCAGGCCCCCGTAACACTCTGCCAGGTGAGTGTTTGGAATATGGATGCAGTCTGACCTCTGCCATAGTAACAAGCTACAGAACTCACAAGTTCAGAAATCACCAACAGCTCACCGGCGACCTTCAGTAAGCCAGCTTAGAACTGGCCACTGTGACACACGCTGTGTCCCTGCGGCTCACTTTCTGCAGCGTTACTCCTCAGTTTTGTTTAATGTCTGTGTCCTGGGCTCAGGGAATCTTTGCCTCTGCTTTATTTGGTCTTCATACCTTCCAGAAGATAAATTAGGACAGCACACCTCTGGAAGTGTGGTCTGCTGAGAGTAACGTGACAGTGGTTTCGCGGTGCGCCCGACGTGGTCAGGCGGTACGCTGCTTACTCAAGCTCTTCTCCTGACACATACATTGATCTGACGGGTGCCCCAACACCCGATCCCATTTGCGATGTATCAAGCAGACTAATAAGACCAGGGATGTACTCATTCTACCATCCGTATTCTGTACAAAATATGTTTAGAAGCAATTTAAAACCATATGAAAGTCCTTCAATATTACAAAAGTTGTCAACATAAAAAATAAAGCTGCTATTCCAACACAAATCTGTAGTTTAACTGTTTCTTAAGTATTAAGTACTGGTGATTCTGCAAGATAATGAACGAGTATTAGAAATTGTCCTGCTATGCACAACAGACAGACATAAGACCACTCAAATGGGTTGGATTTTTGACAAATTATTACATAAAATTACATTGGCTATAAGTGATGATGTACAAAAATCAGGGGGAAACTGAATATAGGCGCACGTGCGCACACACACACACACACACACATACACACACAGGTTCGTAATTATATCTTTGTGGGGACTCTCCATTCATTTCTATGGGGGAAACCTCTCATCCCAACAGTGACAACATTAACCCCTACGTAGCCCTAACCTTAACCATAAGTAATAAAACAAAATAGGAGATATTTGGCATTTTTAGTTTTTTTGATTGCATTCACAAGTTTTTATACAATTATTCTTGTGGGCACCAAAAAATGTCCCCAAAAGGTAAAAAGTTACCGGTTTTTAATCACATAGTGGGGAAATCTGGTACCCACAAAGTAATAATTACAAAAATGCACATAAGCACGCAGGCACACACAGACTTTAAACATCACAGAAAAAAACATTATGTTATAAGGAGAATGAAAACCTACTAATTATAAAATAACTTTTCATAACTGCAATGCAACAGGCACAGTAGACCTCTTAATAAGGAATGGCAATAATTAATGAGCGTACCTTCTATACATTCATTGGCATCCTGTATGCCAGCGAAGATATTAGCCAGGCTGGACTTTCCCACTCCGTGATCGCCCAGCAAAACGACGCGGTAGAGGAGGTCCGCGCCGGAGCTGTCCGAACCCTCGGAGCCGGAGGTCCAATGGCTGCGGCAGTGGATAGCCCTGTCGCCGGAATGATAGGAGGCGGACTGGCCGAGCGCCGGGTGGTTGGGCTCGGCCGGCGGATCTCTGCTCCTGGCCCCGCTCTGGTGGGACGTGGGGATTGGCGTGCTGGCCCTTCTCCGTAAGGTCTCCTTAGTGTTCCTCTCCGTGTTCAGTGTCATCTTGGGAAAAACAAAAAGGCACTAATAATTAAAAAAAAACAAAAAACTTGAAAACAGAATGGAAAAAACGCACTGCTATTAGACTAGTGCTTAGGATACAAAAAGTTTTAAAATTACTTCAAGAATGCAGATTTCAACAAAAAGATCTGAAGGTTTAATTTGCTTAGACACGGTTTATAATATGGAGATATTATCTGATACTTAAAAACAGGAAAAACTGTCCAATTTTTATACAGCCAGCCTACCAACTAATATAATTTATGTAACTAAAGCATATGCTTTCCTAATAGTCACTTCAAACGGAATCGCCAGACTTCGCCGTCACTAAGTCCCGGTTCTGTATATCGGCGATTCCGCTGGACACCGACGGGCTCCCGCACCGCGGCGGGCTTTTCAAGGCTCCGGCCACCGCCGTATCGGGTTGCCGGCGAGGCGCCGTAACGGGACACCCCGGCGGAGTCATGGTAACTGACGGCCGGGCAAGCGAGCCGCACACAGTTGTTAAAAATTCAGCAGCGGGCACCGGATAGCAGGGCTCCGCATCCCCGCGCCTCCCATCTCACTCACATCGTAATTAGGGGTTTAAAAGGGACCTGGATACGCGGTGCTTAATTGATTTATTACATTACAGCCTAAGCTAAAACTCACAGGGAAAATTCTTATCTGCGACCGCCGACAACGAAACTTTTGACAGCGGGATTAACTGTAGGCCTATATCAAACTGTAAATAACTTACGGATTTTACACCTAATTACATAAACGCAGAACTTTACATATCAAGAAAGTTGTTATTAAAACATTTATATGTTCTATATATGATGCCGTAGTCACATAATTTCGAAATGAGTTCGCGTGCCGCACAGGTGCAGTGCGCTTCCCCGCGTCTCACCGGTGCGGTAGTGGTCCGGCGTTCGCCGAGTGCGGTGTCAAAGCTGACGGTCGCCGCTCACTGGACACGTCCTACCGCTCCGATCCCTCATTCTCGGCCGTGTTGCAATACGGGTCTGTACTCAGGGAGTTAGCTCTATATTAATTTATGAGCCCACCCCAACTCAATGACGTGCAACATAAGTCACTTCCTCAAAAATCTGTGCGAACTTTTTTACTATTTATGCAGCTTTTTGCCCCCCAAGCTTTTATATGTTGTAACTTTCTGAACTGTACTCTAAATTCGAAATAAATAATTACTCTACCTAAAACCTGAACATTCATAGTTCCGCACAGTTCATTGTCTTAAGATTCTTTTCGTATTCGCAGCATTTAATAGTACACAGCTTCGGGTTTGTTTTAAACGGAATGCTATAATACAAGAGCCCTTTTACCATATTCACGGGCGAGCTGGGGGGTAAATTCAAATACAGTTCCCAGTATACATTCCTTTACAATGAAATGAGATTGTGAGGCTCCGCTAAACCACTTCCAACTGAAATAACAACACTAATCAGACCGGTAGCCCGTGAGATGATGCGATGAAGGATCTCGATATTTACAAAGCTGGCTTCTTTCCCACACTACAGCACATTTAAAGGGGTTTCTACAATACTGTACATAAAGGGTAGCAATAGCTTGTCCACTACTCACATTTGAAAACAGAATATTCAAAATAGTGATTTTGATATAACGGGTATAACGTGCACACTACAAAATTGGCTTTAATAATAGTAATATTAATTTTCTTTTAACACTTTTTCATCATAAAGTTAGAAAATATTTTATGGAAAAATGCACAAATGTCCTTCTTAAAATTATGTTTTTATTAAGACCTTAAGGTGACCCATGTGGTTTGTGAAAAGGCACCTAAGGAGTGTTTGAAATTGGATGGATACAAAGGCAAGTCCTTCTTGATGTGGTCCATTTAAATAGGAAGCCATTCTTCTCTGGGAATGTCCAGGTTCACGTCCATATCTGGGGTACATCTGCAATGGAGAGACAAGATGATGAACAAATACAGAAAACTGCTGCCAAATATCATGAAATTGTACAAACGACATGAAAATGTTCAGCAGCTATTGGCTTATTCCTTCTAAATCATCAAGTGGCTAAATCTGTCACACAATACCAAAGCAATCCATTTAAAATACATAAATATTTAATACATTAGTACCCCATGTCTGTTTCTACAAATATACAAATACAGAAAATACTCCAGACAACTTATTGAAAAGTTATTGAAATAGAAACATCATTCATATTCCTTTTTCTATATATAACTTTGAACATTAAACTGATTCATTTATAAAGTACTTTCAGTCCCAAAGAAATCCAATACATTCAAACCTTGCTTAAAATTCATACTGCCAACATGAACAGTAAAATAAAATTGTATTTATTAAGCAAGTCATCCTGTGCAGGCCGTAGCCCTGTCTAACTCCCTGTG